CTTTCGTGGGTAAGAACCTCACTTCTTCAGATGCATCTTCAGAAGTGAGGTTCTTACCCACGAAAGCTTATGCTCCCAATACTTCTGTTAGTCTTAAAGGTGCCACAGGACCCTCTGTTGCTTTTTACTTGACATCAGTTATCAATAAGGATGCTAACATGGAACATGCGCATGAAGGCAATACGGCTGAAGGAAATGAGTGCTAGAAATGAAAATCACCACATCTAAGGTGGAAGGAAAACTTAGAGCTTAATGTGCTCAAATCAGGGGAATTGGATATCTTTCATCATGGAATACAGAAAGCACTGGCAAGAAAGGGAAAAGAAGTGATCTGGGAAATTACAATTCTGGTTATCTTATCTCAGTAGTATGCAAGGCTTTAGAACAAATTATTAAGGAAAGAATAATTAAATGAATGGTAAAGGGGATGTAATGTAACATGGATGTACCAAAGGTAGATCATGCCAAACTACCTGATTTCCATTCTTGAAAAAATAACTGATTTCTTAGATAAGGGAAATGCAGTACGTCTAATATATTTGGACTTCAGTCAAGAATTTGACATAGTACCACATAGGAAATTATTTGTTAACTTAGAGAAGATGGGGATCGGTACTAGAATTGTAAGGTGGATAAGGAACTGGCTAAGGTGAGGTATCAGACTGGAGAGAGGTTACTAGTGGAATTCCTCAGGGACTGGTTTTGGGACCAGTCATATTCAATTGTTTATTAATAACCTTTGGACAAGGCATTTATTAATATTGCCCATGTTTGAGTCAATATGTAACTTGAAACCTAGTGTTCACAAATTTGGGATCATGTTGGCTCTTCAGCTTGTTCTAGATGCCAAGATAGCAGCAATCAGTTTTTGTAAATATTCATTTTACGAGGAGGTTATTTTTTTCTTTTGCAAGTGACTGTCAACTGACTTGACAAACCCATACCTTTGTCACCTCCATATAGCCTCACTTATGTATGTTATACTTGAAGCATTACTTGAAGATGATTTGGAAACTTCAGCTAATTCAGAGTGCAGCTGTCCATTTATTTTGTGATGCTTTGTTTATGGTACATATTGTACCTACACGCCAGTCTGTATGGCTGCTTTTCTTTAATGGTCCCAAGGAGTCTCTCAGAATCCAGATCCAGCTCATCCTTCTCTAGGTCATTGGGTTCTGGAGTTTCATCTTGCTGATCCTCCTGCTTGATTCCTTTGGTTTCATCTAGTCACTGATAATGGACCACGTTATCATTCATCAACTGTAAACCATTCATTGGAGTTGTTTGTGTCAGAGTCTGACAAATAGATAGGAGACTGTGCTCTGGGTAGGATTGTTCCATTATTGAGTCTGATTCACCAAATTCTGGTTCAAATTTCCAACCATCTCTAAACTGTTTTGCACTAAGACACTGTAGCAAGGCAGAGTGGCCTCCCTCTGACTCTGACAGGGAGGACTCCCCGCCCCGGGGTGGGCAGAGCCAGGCTGAACAAGAAGTATAAGAGGCAGAGCCTCCAGCTCAGTTGAGGGAGAGCCAGGGAAGGAGTCAGATGTTGCTGCCTTGTTGCTGGCCCCTGAATCAGCGACTGAGCTCTATCAACCCTTACTTCTGAAGTAATACCAGGAAGAGCTGCTGCCAGGCAAATACCCTGAGGAGCTGCTGGAACTGCCAGTGGCGGAGTATCCCAAGGAGCCTGAGTGCCCATGAGTGATTAAGCCCTATGAACAGGTATGGGTAGGAAGTAACCCAGGGAAACCAGACAATAGTCTAGTTGTGTTGCTGAAACCATGGTCAGCATGTTTTGGCAGGATCCCCGCTGACCCAGTGGCAGGATTTCCTGCCACTGTTAGGGCCCTGGGCCCTAGGGTGGGCCTGGGTCCCCCTACCCACTGCTGCCAACCCCACCCTGGGTTGGCAGCCCACCCACCATAGGCCGAATGGCCTGCAGTTGTTTGCTGTCTGCCCAGCCAAGGAGGTGGGCCATAGACTTCTTTTTCTCGGCCCTCTGAGAGGTCTTGAGCCTGACTGTGTACTATTGCTCTGCGCTGCTTTGAGGGCGGAGCCTGACCTGCTTGCTGCCTGCTCCAGCCAGACTGTTATTGCTCTGCCTGGCCCAGAGGGCCTGAGACTGATTGTGGTGGTTGTCCACCCCAGCCAGGGGGCTGGGCTAAAGGCTGCCAATTGTCCTGTCATGGGGGGCCAGCACCCTAGACTCTTTACTGACTTACTTTGCTAATCCCCTGTTGATCAGCTCTCAGGTGCTAGGTGGCGTAGTGAGTCGAAGTGGTCTCCCTCTGACACTGACAGGGAGGGACCACTCCAAGCCACAACAGTCACTTTTTATTAATAGCTTACGTTTTATATATCTTGTAGCTATAATTTTTTCCAATACATTCTTTTTCATACATTCCTGGGCCTTTTATGGTGGCTTCAGAAACCTTGCGGGGGGGGGGGAGACCAAATAATGTTGTTTTTTATCTGCTTTCTTCTATCTTTAAACAGAAAGCAAAGTGAGGAGCAAGCCCTGGAGTAGGGAGTTAAGGGTCTGCTGTGGGTTGTTCATGCACTGTTCAGTGGGCACAGAAGTTTCCAAAGCTGGGCAGTGGTGACAGCACATCTCCACAGCCAGGGCTGGTTCCAGGTTTTTTGCCGCCCCAAGCAAAAAAATTTTTGGCTGCCCCCCGTCCCAGCCCTGGGCTC